GAATTCAAAATTTTATTGAGGAGAATTTTATTGAAACAGAAAAAATTACAAATTTTATCATAATGATTCGGATTTATGAATATACAGTAAATGTTTTTTTTTTTTGAAGACTAAATAATATTATATTCATTTATGTACGTACGTAACAAAGCGAAAAATTTAAGTTTCACATAATCTAACCTATAATAAATTAATTTATATCTCTGTACTCTCTGCATTTTTACGATAAAATGACAATATAATTAAAAACATATTTAAAATCATTCCAAGGATCTCTGAAAAATCTAATATAATTCAGCTATGGCGCACCAACCTGGTACACATTTTCTGGATGCGTCAAGGTATATTTTTTAAAAAATTTAATATATTATTACAAAATTTATGTGGTTTGGGTATAAGAAATAGCAAATTTTATAGTAAAAAAACCGGAACTTAATATAATGCAGGAATGGGCTTGCTTACATATATACATATTTTTTTTACTAAGTAAATTTCTTGAGCTTCTAAGTAAAGTTGTAGGAACGATTATTCACGTTCTAAGGTGGTTAAATCATTAAAAATAGTCCGGTGGATATTGGTATTCTAATTTTTTTTACTATACGATTTTTATTAATGTAAAAAAACTTTCGCCATTCCTCTTTATATTAGTGCACCGATTTTTTAAACTGCGAACTACCCCTTAAATATTATTAATTTTGAAATAAGCCAAATTATATAACTAAACTTGTTTATTAATGTTGTAGGTGGATTCGGAATAAACTTAAGTTGATTCCGAATCAACTTATCGTTATATGGGAATTGAGTAGATGACAAATCGTACATTATGCTAAAAATCCGGGTATCATATAATCGGCACTGCAATAATATGATCATAGGCGGTTTGTTAAATAAAGAGATTCTCCCTCAATATTTATTAAACCTGGAAACCCTTTTTGAAATAAAGAGATATTCTTAAAACATTTTACGAAACACAATAATAAATAAAATATGATTACTTAATACAGCATTAATTTATTTGTATAAAATTCCGTTACCACGACCTACATTTGATATAACTTGCAAATTAATTTCTTTTACATATTTTATAGAAAATTATAAAGATAGTATGCAATAAATAAAATTCTTAAATTAAAATACTGCAATCTTATTTTTCCAAGCAGAGCAATTGCTTTCTAACTTTTTCAAACACTCCATAATTTTTTCTAACTTTGGATCTAATGATTTTACTACTGTTTCATTCAACACTGAAACATATTTATCTTTGTACTGGCTAATAATTATTTATTCATTAAATAACCAAAAAATGAGGATGATTAAGAAATAATAAATGATCAAATTGAAAAAGTTGAAAAAAATTATAGATTTACGAAAATAAAAAAGGATACCAAACTTTTAAAGAACTTTTAGAAGATCCTAAAATATTTCCATGCTTTTGTTGCGGTGGTGAAGAGTGATATTGAAGTGCATAAACTGAAACAACTATACATGAACTTTCAATATGAAATTGAATCACCAAGTCTTCAGGAAATTTTGCACCAAACATCTGCAAAAATAATAATAATTTCATTATTATTTAAATTTAAAAATATAACTCGGTAATATTTTGAAGTTACCTGAGGATCACAGATTTTATAAGGAAACAATTTTTCCTCACTTGCACAAGTAAGAGTAAATCGAGCATTTGATATATATTTGAGAACCGTATCTAACAACTTTTAGGATAAAACATCGCAATATACATTTTAATTTTTGCTTATAATTAATATCAAAACAAATTATAAGGTTTACCTCATAAGACTTCTCTTTGGTATACGAGTTATTTGAACATTCTAATGTATCTAAAGCTAAAGTGATATAATTCTGTGCATCAATCAGCTTTAGAAAAGATAAATTAATAAATTTCATTAATTAATTAAATAGTAATAATTTAATACAGTATTTAAGAATAACATTAACATACCTGTTCAATAAAATACGGTTTCTTGCTATTAACAGTCAATTTTGTCAAATTTCCACGATTATAATTGGGAAATTTTACTTGTAATTCCTATAATTTATTAACGTCAATTATGAGAAATAACGTTTATGAATATGAATATGATACGATACCCCTTTTATAATATCACTTCCATCTAATGTGACAAAGCCTTTCAACGCATCACTACTGAAAAGAATTTTAAAATTATGATCAAGAATCTCATATTTAAATAATTAAGACCAAATAATTACTTATTGGATGAGATGGCTAATGTACTTGTCCCTAAAGCATCTAAAAATAAATAAAATCATTCATTAAAACGTTATAGTAAACGATTCCTTAAAAAAAATCATGAATGATAAATCATTTGCCATCATGTTCTGGAGATTTCATAATAGCCTCGCATTTCTAAATGCTCATAAACAAAAATGTTAGTCCATTATTTCACCACACCCAAAATTAAATTTAAACATGAATAAAAATAAAATGCAATGGTTACTTTTAATTCCTTCTTTAAATTATAAAGCGAATTTGGCAATTGTGAATCCAGTAACCATTCTAACTCTTTCTTCTATACAAAATAAATAATATTACAGTCAGAATAAAATAATATAAATAGACAATTAAAAGACATGATTTTTTTATTTTACCAAGACTGTTTCTTCTTCTTGAATAACTGCATGCATTTCATCTTGTTTAAAGTGAAGCATATGGGCAAAAAACCAATCCCTAAAAATCTGTAATAAATATCTGGTGGCACAACATGAAAAATGGTTCTATTTATACATGCGTATCGGTAAGCATTTTAGCCAAATCGGGCTAACGTAAATTCGGCTTTTTTTACGTATGTGATGTATTAACAAATTACGTTTATTGTTGAATAGTGAATCACGTGCAGCACTATTAGGAATATTGCATAAAGAATCACCTCTGCGCACTAACAAAAAGTTTTCCTTGACTATGTATGTAAAAGCATTCTAAAAAAATCAGAGGCCAAATATGCAGGAGCTTGAAATAACTAATCAGATGTAGTAGTTTGGCTTCATTTAAATTTCAACTTCAGCTGCCGATGTTTTAACCTTTTTTTAAAACTAAAAAAAAAAAAAAAAAAAAAAAAAAAAAAAAGCGTAAAAAATGTTTTTTCACTATCCCTAATAGGACATTGTTTATCGTAACTTGTAAATGCCCGGCTAAATACTTTACCTAGATTTTCTACAACTTTTGAATTAACCTTCGGTTCCAACGAATTTGCATATTCTAAAATAACCTGTGGATTATAACAATTAATCCAAGGCATCCGTTCAACATTCGAAAAACTTATTGCAAATTACGAATCGTCATTTATCAGTAATAATTTAAGTATTTCTGAAATGTCTTCTCCTTCTGTAACAGCAAATATCCAACTAACTTTATAAGTTTTTGTGGTTTCATTATTTTGTAACTGTAATCTCTTATCAACATAATCTCCAAGCACTTTAGCTGCAAGTGGATTATGTGCACCATCAACTAACATTTTGGATTTTTTTTTTTTGATTTAATTACGTTAGAAACATCAACACATTGTAACCTTTTTTCTTAATATGGCCATTTGTTATTGTAGAAAATTAGGTTCAGACTTTCTCAAATGCTCAATTGCTAAAAGCAGTAGCAGCATTTCCTAGTTGAAAACCACCTTTAAATGGTATATTATCCGGGAAGTTTCAAGAACTCGAAACCAGTGATAACTACCCCAAGACAAAATTTTCACAGACACGTGATGATCAGCGAAATTTAACCAATAATGAGCCACAATTTAGTGTAACGTAACACGATCAGGAAAATTCAAAAAAACGTTCGTTTCGAAAAAATCGCTTGTTTCTCGAAAATTTGCATAAGAAATCACCTTTCGTGCACTAATTAAAAGTTTTCCTCG